TTTTTATTTTTTCATTTTTTATTTTTTATTTTTTCATTTTTTATTTTTTATTTTTTGTTTCCCTGCATTTTTTATGTTCTTTTGATGGGAGCTAAAATAGGTGGTTCAATATGCGTAAAATGAGTGCTACAAAAAAGATGAAAACTTTTAAACAAATTTAATACTGAACGAATTATTGGATAATTAGGTAAAACACGTAGCAAAAAACTAAACACACAAAAAGTAACAGAACAAGTTTGACGAAAGGACTGTGGCGCACATACCTTAAAAGTATTATCCTGTACCCAAGCATCTGGCTTACCATAATCCGGTGGATTCGCGTAAGGATCATAACCGAGCACCGATAGCATGGGCGCAATGTCGGCCATATCACGTACCACATTTTCGGGTATATTGCCTACCCATTTAGAGAGTGCTTCCAAATTCACCGGTTTGATAACCTGATCCGAAGAGCGCTCAACTCTGAAAGAGATAAGGATAATGGCAGTAAGTATTGATATTATTGTATATAGTGATGCAGTCTTATATAATTAAAGAATATTCCAAAAATAGTAGCAACTCGCCATCTGGATTTAACAAAATATGAATTTTTAAAGCTCCCAGGGCGTTTTTGAAATTTTTATGTAGTAAGTAATTTCATCCAAAAAAAAAAAAAAAAAACAAAAAAAAAATTTAAGACCTTAATTCTAGTCTAGCCCCCGAATTTTGAGTTTTTGTTAACTGAAAAAAGCAATTGCTATTTTTACTATAAATGTTCCATATATGGCGGCTATTTAAAAATAAACATCGATTTTTTCACTAATTTTCTTATTTTCTAGATTTTTTTAAAAGTATAACGAAGTAGAATTTTTAAAAAATCGTTTAAAGTTTCGTCATCAGCTTAAACCGGTCACGACAGCAATACGGCTATAATTTAATTAAAAATAATTTGAATTTTGAAAAAAAACCAAAATCATGGAAATATTTTTGAATTTTTTGAAAAATTTCTACACTAGAATACTCTTTTAATAAGCTAGAAAATTTAGATAAAGAAAGGTTAGAGGATCAAGCGTCCAAAAATTGTTTGAAGTATATCTTTAGGCGAAATCAAGCAAGTGAGAAACAAGTGCTATACTTTAAGACATACTATCCCCATGCCTATTATTTCATTACCTATCTCAATAAGACGTTTCAGATTTTAATATTGTACATATTATAGTAAGTGCGAACATCTTCTCTACATTCAAAATATTTTTCATCCGGAACCCATGAAGATCGATCCAAATCGATCTCAATACTATTCGAAGAATCTGTTTTGCAATAATACCGGATTAATCGGCTATTGGTACCAGAACTTCACATTTTGGTCTTGATATAAGTAGATCTTCTAAAGTGTTTTGTAGTGATCGCTTGAAAACTAAGTCATTTTCTAAGATTATTACTATAGATCGTAGACAAGAAAAAAGATTACGACGGTCAGTCATTGGTCAAAAAGAGAGCTATGCACTAGTGGTTTCATTTCGTGCTAATATCTGTAAGATGTGTATGTGGTAAGCGACTACTTAAAGTCCAGGGGATCTACAGCTCTGACGTGCAGCTTTCTTTACGGAGGGAAGTATTTACACTAACAGCAGATCAGTAATATGCCTATGCCTCATTGGGAATGGTAGGAGATCTAGCTAGCTTCTTGCCTTCATCAAGCTAGTTATAGAGATTCCTAGGCTAAAATGAAGCCAAATTACAATTGATGTAATTTTTTGAAAGATGTCACTGTATAATTACTAGATTAGCACCTATTTCTTATAGATCCCGCCATTGCGAGTTCATGGTTAAAGCACCTTTAGTCTTTCCCGTGAAATATCTGGTATAAAAATTAATATATTTGGTAGATTTGTTTTGGGCGCAAAAAATACCGTTGATCTATATTATACAAATTTAAACTGTTTTCATTGATATTTAACAAATTCAACATTCAGTGCTGCAAGTTTTCACAAATCCATGCCTTCGCAATATTTGCCGTATTTTTGCTCCCGTGGCCGACTCTAACACGGGCTTATGGTCACACACAAATCCCACACTCCTGTAGGCCAAAATTCTCAAAAGAAAATGAGGCTGACTAGTGTATGTTCTGAAAAAAGATTCAGACACAATGGGTGGAACGCTATCGACTGAAATCCACAAGCCAGCCCACGAAAATCCCGACTCGCTCTAATCTGGATAAGAAATTTGGACATGAAAAATTTAAGGTTCGCAAAAGATTGGTGTCAAATCAAGAAGCTAGACACACAAGATCGGAACAAATAAAGAGTCTCATAGTGGCAATTTGCTGTATCACGGACCCTTAGTATATAACTTATTCTGTATTTTCCTACTTTCTATTTCCTTAAGGAAAAATCCGTATCTTGAACAGATTTACGAATCAGGGCCACCCTGTTGCAGAGCAAAATTTCCGAAAACTAAATTTAGAAATTGAGAATAAAGCGTTTCGACTTGTAGGTCATTTAGCATCAGTCTAAAGATACATTTGTAGGCCACTTGTAACAACTACTGAACCAATAATACATTTTAAATGATCGAAAAATACTGGTATAGTAAAAATTAATAAAGAAGCATATGTCACTTCTGACTTACTTTGAGAGCGGCACACCATTTGGCTTATTTATGAACTCCTCATGATGCAAAACCGCATCATTCCATGGAACATCCAGAAATTTCAATATTTTCCGCATCCACTCTTCGGGATGCAGAACCAACTGTTCATAGTAGACCTGAAAAAAATTACAATAATAAAAACAAATAATGTAAACTTATGACACTAGCTGCAAAGTAAACATGAAAAAGTGGACAATTTGAATTTTAATTCAATTAAGCGAGCAAATGATATGTGCAAAATACAAAGGTTTTTTTTATTAACGAACTCGCGTTCGAAATGATAAAAGCGGTTGAAGCAATTCGCATTTGCATTCACAACCGACTAAACCATTAAGTCATCAATCAAATGGAAAATGTGAATTGAAAATTAAAATGTAAAATTTAAAATAAAAACGAAAACGAAACGTGAAATGTAAAATCACTAAAACCAGCTAGTGAATTGCGGCAACAAAGCGCAAATAACGGTAGAGTTTTACATTTTGATTTTTCACTAGATTTTTTTAACACGTCTCACTGGCAGATCTGTTTGAAGGCAGCTTTTTTGCAGTCGTTCGTTGCATGAACGCGTACTCGTCGTATTTGTCAATATGCTACACATTTCAATCAATCAATGACTGATGCTGCCGCACCAAACCATCGCCATTTGTAAGCACTTGAGCGCTAGCAAGCACTCTTTCTACGCTATATATGTTTTGCCCTGGAAAAATATAAATTCACACAGAAATGCACATTCACTTATGGACTTACCATCATGCAGCGCTCCTTGCCGATCTCCTTGCATTGGTTGTGCATCACTTCGATGGCGAAGTTCCACTTCCGCATACACTGCCGGTAGCTGGTCAAATCGAAGCCGGTTATCGTCACATGGCGCGAGATGATTGAATGCACTGTGGCGCGCCCATCCCTTACCATAAACAGGAACTTCGCCTAAAAGCGAAATTATGTTGCAACATGTAGAGTCGCCGAGCCAAGCGGTTGACAAGGAAAAAGAAAATTGAGATAAAAAAGCAAAAAATAAAAATAAAAGAGAGAAAGAGAAAAGATGGTATAGAGTTAAGTGACATGTCGAGTGTAGTAGAGATAGTAAGTATGTTCGTGTCAGATGTGCCAACGACAACGAACGATAATTACATTTGGAAATAGTTCTATCACGTAGGAGCCCATCTTTAGCGTCAGCGGATCCTTATTGCATAGACGAGGCGCTGGTTCGCCATGTTTAGCGATGATTTCGAGACAAAATTGCGCTATTGCACCGTTCATCACCTCTTTGGTGATGCCCGCCTCCATCAGTCGCATCGATTCCTTCTCCGATTTCATCCAATGCGAGCGTAATTGCAGTATACGTGGTATGACACGTGTCTCCTGGCCACATCTATATTTTTTGTTTGTTTATGCCGTGATGCGGAGTGTGCCGGAGGAGTTGGTCGATGGCAGCAACAGCAGATATCGTTGTTGGTAGGCGGATGTGTACACGTACGAAATGAAAAGGAAGCGGAAGAAATTGCTATTAGTTTTATATTGAGTGTACTTCCGGTGAACAAGTTCGCACAGGTGATGGGCGTTAAAAATAATAACTAATAAATATATATTAAAAATGAAGGAAATGTACAGTTATGATTAAATTTTTTTTATTTAATTGGGCTTGATTGGAACATAATTACGCTAGTTTGTATGTGTAAAAAATATTATCGACAATTTATCTCTGTTATTTGTTATGGTAAATATGATGTTTGTGCAATATAATATTTTCTAAAAGATATATTTTAGTATTTTACAAAATATTTTATATTTATATCCACTTGCAAGTCAGAAAAAGGCGTTCTTTTCGGCAATTTTTTTTTTTTGAAGAGGCATTTTATCCAAAAACAAAAAAAAAATGAGAAAAAACGTTAACTTGGGTTGCGCCGAAGCTATAATACCCTTCACAAAAACAAATTCCCCTTACAAGATCTTGATTCCGAACGTTCAATTTGTATGGCAACTATATGATATAGTGATCTGATCTGACCAATTTCTGTGGAGAATAATTTGTTACCTTAAGCAATAACTCGTGCCTAATTTCGTGAAGATACCTAGTCAAATAAAAAAATGTTCCATGCAAGCACTTTACTCCGATCGTTCAGTTAATATGACAGCTATATGCTATAGTCATCCGATCCATACAATTTCTTCGGAGATTAGATTAATGCTTTAAATAATAATACATGCCAAATTTCGTGAAGATACCTCGTCAAATGAAAGAGTTTCCCATACAAACACTTGATTCCGATTGTTCAGTTTGTATGGCAGCTATATACTATAGTGGTCCGATATCGGCCGTTCCGACAAATGAGCAGCTTCTTGGGGAGAAAAAGAAGTGTTCAAAATTTCAGATCGATATCTCAAAAACTGAGGGACTAGTTCGCGTATATACAGACGGACGGACAGACGGACGGACAGACAGACGGACATGGCTTAATCAACTCAGCTCATCACGGTGATCATTTATATATATACTTTATATGGTCTCCGACGTTTCCTTCTGGGTGTTACAAACTTCGTGGCAAAATTAATATACCCTGTTCAGGGTATAAAAATATATATTATATTATAGATGAATACAGGTAATCTTCAAGAGACTATTTTTGATTTTTTGTGAAAAAATTTACACTCTGTGGTTTAAAAAATCGAAATTAAAATTTTCAAGTCGATCGCTCAAGACGTTTTCGAGAAATTTTCCACACCAATTATGAAATCAGCGTTTCGAGGTAAACAGAGCAGTAAGTTAAAAATATCTTACAAATACACTCATATCTTCGAAAATATTTACCGAATCAACTTCAAATTTCGGAGAAAATTCTGAAATACATATGTAACATACAGTGGATATATGCATGTGCAAAAAGGAAAATCGATTTTTTGATCTTAAGAAATTCTAGCTGTCTTCAATTCACCAAGCTTTACTCTCCAGCGAATCGAACAAACTATATCAGATGCAGCGCTTGTGGTGCAACCGTGCGCTTACATACGTCAGAGTATGTTATGATTCTTCATTGGTGAAGAAATTATTTTTTCAGGTTAAAAGACGTTTCTGTAACCATTTATTTTGGTTTTCTATAATTTATTATATTTGATTTTAAGTCTTATGTTTTAAAAATACAAGAAAATATAGAAATTTGTAATTTCATTTGTCGTTTAAACAATTCACAATAGTGAAAGTGAGCTGAAATATGCAAAACAAAACTTAGCAACATTGAAGATAGAAGTTATACCACTTTAATGGGTACGCATACTCTCTTGCTTCAATTCAACTCGATAACTTTGTTGCTGCTTTTACATGTAAATTTTTTGACAAGAGAGCAGAGAAATGACCAATCGATGACAGCTTCTATTATATTTCCTAAGAGGCTTCCAACTGAGATCCTAGCAATAATAAACGAAGTGAACGTTGGAAAATATTTTCCGACAAAGAACAGCTGTTACGCAAGAAAACTTTTCTGGCACTTGTATCAGAAAGCAGATCCCGACGAACTACCGATGCAAAAATACTCTAAACATAGATTTTTTAAGATAGTGAAGAAAAATCAAGAACAATTTGTCAATGGAAAAAGAGAATTTGAGAAGCTGAAATCACTAGAAAAACGATCCGTTTGAGAAATCGACTGAAAACTATCCCGATTTGCTGCAGACTTCAAAAATGGAACCATCTTTACAAAAAACATTAAATCTTTGTACTTAATTGAAGGCCATTTAAAATTAAATATAACCCGAAGCAATCGGTCAATATAATCGGTACACTACCTACAGATAGTTGCAGGGTTTTATACTTAATTTTGGGCATGCGTGGACAGAATATCTTAAGTCTAAATTAATAGATGTTGGAATCAGTCAAAAAAAATTTGATTAATACGGTTGAGAATGTCATTGTAGGGTTAGATTACGTAAAGAACTGGAAACCTGATATACAAATTTATATTGTAATAAAAAGTTACGTCAAGAATTCGAAGAAGTCGTACCTTTTCATCAGTTGTCTGCCTCGAGTTCCAAGCCAAGTTTCTCATCTCCTCCTTTGTGAGAGACAACTTTATGAGAGTCATATATATAAAACATTGCGGTTATTTACCAAGAAATGGCAACTTGAATTCTCGAGGATGTAGGATCTCATCGAATTACAAAAAGTAAAAGGTACATAAATTTAAACAGATTGGCGAGGAAAAAATAACATAATATGATATCGGCGTCAAAACCAAAGCCCAGACATCTCATTTGCACCGCACCCAAAAAAAAAACAACATAGAGAACTTTTAAATAAAAAATGTTTCGTTCTACTCCTACTTCTAGGTTTATGTCCGCCATCTTTGAATTAGCCCGTTCATGTGAAAATATATCGATTCTATGCAATCAAAACTCGCATGCTCGTTCATATGTAGTATTACTGGCATTCAAGAAAAGCATGTAACTAGTTCAAGGAAAATTGTAAGCTTCAATAGAAAAGCATACCAATATGGCAGCTTTCTCTCTTTCTGCTAGACTTGCAATAGTTTGTAGTATAGGAAAATCTATATTTTAATAACCATATTGTAAGCGCATAAATTCTCCGACAGTTTGTTGTTGAGCAGGAGAAAACAAATATAATACCTGACACAATTTTATATGCCAATGTACCATAAAGTAAAAACTTTTTTCTCTTTTGATATTCTTTAAAAGAAAACTTTCTTTCTTTAATATTATTATTATTTTACTTCTTTATTTGCTTCACTTTATCCAAAAAAAAACACAGAAAACAAAAAAATAAATTAAACTTGAAACTTACACCTGTGGCTGTAGCACGGTCGGCTCCTGCCGACATCCTGCATACATACATACAAACACGAAACCTCAGGAGAGCAATTGAAACTTCAGTTTTCATGCTTTTATGAAATTTTCTAGCAATAAAAAGGTTGTTAGAGGTGGCTCAAAGGTAGCTTTGTAAAATATTAAACAATAAAATTTTGTTTGGTACAAAATTTGGTTGAAAATTCGTGTTCAGTTTGGCGAAGATACAAACAATCGTGCGAAAATATTTTGATAATTTTTTATTATTAGATTTATTTACTTTAAAGGGGTTTTTTTCTAAATAAGAAATTTGGCAGTCGGTCGCCATGTTGTTGTTGCGCCTTCTATATTTGAGGAGAAAGTCATTGCGTCATTTCAGCCAACACCTATGACAGTAAAGTCGTCAAAGAAGTGTCAAATTAATTAAATAATCCTAACTAAAAAAATATGTGTTGGATAGAATAGAAGGCACCCCAGACGGCCAGTCCGTCGAATTGGTTATTTCGATAACCACTAGGATCAACCCATAGTTAGATAATTTAGCTCTCTTCCACTTCGTACAATTTACTAATTGACTAAATTAAGAGGAGGAAGTAATCTGAATTACTTTAAATTGTCTAAAAATCCTGTTCTTCGATTTGGTTATCATGATAACTATTAAGCTAACCCCTTAATTGGATAAATTAGCTTTCTCTGACTTTGAAATAATTTTTGACATTTTCTCGTCTTGTACGCACGAGATTAACTTATTAATAAATAAAGTTGCATTATCCTGCTTAATTGAGTTCCTTAAGAATAAAACTAAGTAATCGATTTATGTGTTTACATAACACTGAAGACCCAGTGCCAATTAATAGCGTTAAGTTATTTTAATTTATTACTTATTGCTATTTATTCTAAAAGAGATTATTTTAAATAGCATTTGATTTTCGTTTGCCTTTTTAAATCAATTAAGACAAATTAATTTTATAAACAAGCATACATATGTACATCGCCGCTTCGCAAAGAAAAAATTATTTCCACTTGTTTACTATTGAATATTAATTGCGCAATTAAGATCTCAATTGTTGCCTTAATTAAATAAAAATTAGATAATTATTCAATTTAAGCAAATGTTTAGTCAACTTTTAATTTTATTTTTCGCAAAATAACTTGAAAACTAAATTAAATAGCGAAATTAAAGTATATGTGGTTGTATGCTTTTTGAGTTAAGACCCATAAAATTTAGTCCATTAGCGCATGAAAATCGTCAAGTCCGAACGTCATAAAAGAACTGTTTCGATTACCCAGGAGCTAAACATTGCATAGAGTATACCCATTTAAGTAAAGCTGAATACAAAAGGAAACTCGATACCTGAAGATTTTTTTATTTTATTTCGAAATATATTTAGATGACAATCAAGGCTTTTCTAGTTATTGTTATAGCCAGTAAACAGTGCTGCAAATTTTTTTATCCAAAAATTTTGGATTCAAAAATTAAAATATTAATTTTTAATTCCAACATCTTGGGTAATTGGAAATTGATTGATTAATTAACAGTCGGATATACGCAGCTGAAACCAAAACGAATTTAGATTC